TTGGGTTTAGGGTTTAGGGTTGGCCCACAACCTGAATCTGCGTAAACCTGAACCGGGTCACGTAGACTTAGTAAGCGGAGCCCAGGAGCTAGACAACATGTAAGGTTTCGCAGCCTCCCCGAAGCCGAATCAAGACTACCTCTACCCCAATACTTTCCCGTTAACATGTGTGCAGCATTTGTTTAAACTGTTTAAGTTTGATTCAGGGACAGCTTCTTTGTTCACTGAGGTCAGCTTCTAGTGCCCATCGTGAGTATGGCCATTGTGTACAACATCGGCACAGCGGCCGCAGTGGGCAGACAGAGCGGCGCTGGATCTACATGACCCGAATGATGATCACAGACTTTAGGGTTTTAGGGTCTAGGGTTTATAGGGTTTAGTGCAGTGTGAAGATAGCATGCAAGACCCGAACTCCCCGCTCGAATTTACTCAGGCCTCGCAAGCTTGAGTCTTAGGTTACTCGGCACTCAGATCCTTAGATCTGTGACTCTGGGATCTCGTTCAAGCTATGCCGACAGGAATCCCTACCCTGCACCGAAACGCAAGCTCTTGGGGTGCCATTGTCACCAGATCTTGGGCTTCTTCCCTGACAACAAGATAGATGAAGGAGGAGGAGAGTCGTAGAATTAGCATTGCTTTGAGAACGGCTTGAAGACAGATCCGTACCTTTACCATCTGTGCTGTAGACAATGGAAGCCGAGCAAATGATTGTGCTGGTCTTGGCCTGCCTGTTACGATATCCAGGGTGGATGATGCTATTTGCAGCACTTCTTGTCTTTCGCACCGAAAAGATGTAGACTTCCAGCATACCCAGTCCCACGGGCCTTATTCTGGCTATGGTCAGCCTCAGACTTTGATGTACTTCTCCCGGCTTCCGACGCTTCCCGAGGCACCTACGACGATCGAGTCGCCAGCCATAAACCCCTGCCAGGCCTGGAGTAGCCAGATCCAAAGCCCTAGCTCCAAAAGGCTGAAACCGAGACCTCGGCTTTCCGCCCCCACTTCGAGCTGCACTCGGGACGGTCAGCCTCCCTGAAGCCCTGTGGACCCTGTACATCCCGAGTGCATGTGTATGGGTTTAGGTGTCCGGGATCGGGAGGGGTAGGTCCTTGGCTTAGGTTGATTCTATCGTCCTCTGCATTCCGTTCAATAAACGGACCCTAAACCCCAAGGAGTAAACCCCAAACCCTCACCAAGTTCTCTTGTGCCTACCTGGAGTGAGAGTGCTTCGCGAGGCCGACTGGCGAGCCTCATTTCGCAGAGTCCGAGCTTGAGAGCCTAAACTCCCAACCCTGAAAGCATAAACCCTAAAGCAAAAAACCCCCAAACCTACTCATCAACCCTAAACCCTAAGCCCTAAGTGAGGAAAAAAGAGTCCTAAACCCTAAACCCCCAACCCTAATCCGAATGACAAGCCTTAGGAGCTCCCAATCCCTGCGCTAAACCAAACTCAAGCGCCCTGAGAACTCAAAGCACCAACTTCCGAGAACGCCTTCTTGAAAGAGCCTCTCCAAAGAACTCTTGCAGAACTCCTTATGGAACCCAGAAACTCCTATAGACTCCCCCTAGCTAAAATGTCGAACTTGGAGGCATCTCCTGGCGCTTGATTCTGGGCTTGGGGGCGCTCCCCGGAGCGCTTGCTGTCCTATACAGTGGTTTGTGGTTGTCTTTGTCTGTGGTGTAGTCCAGTGTAGCTTGCCTTTCGGCTGAACAGGTTTTAGGAGCTTTAGCGGTGTTGGGACTTGAGTTTTTGGTTTGTGGTGGCTCATGGGCGTATGCCGGCAGGGATTTGGGAGGCATTGGAGGGTTTTCTCTTCGGTGCGTGTTGGAGTATGTCCTGAGTCTTCGGGCTGTTGGTGGGTCTGTTCTTTTTGGAAGATCGGGATAGCAGCATTGTGACTCGGTGCTTGTGTACGTTAAGAATGTTGGTGGATTTGGTGGTGTTTTCCTTTTACTTTGGATCCATACAGGCCCTGTGGCAGGTGATGCTTACAGGAGGGTCGTAGAGGTTGAGTTTTTAGGCTATCCTGGCATAGTCCTAGAGTCCAGACTCGCAATGGCTTCGGGCTTGGTGTGTTGGGTGCAGGGTATCGGACAACCCTCAAGCAATGGCAATACCCGGAATCCACGGAGTCAACAAGGCCAGAAAAGCAACGTTCTGAAACCAGGTGTGTGTATGCACAGTGTATGTACGTCTTCGTGCCCGCCCGCACCTTTGCATGTCTATTCGTGTGTGCTTGCATGTGTTTACGTGTGAGATGCATGCATTTAAAAGCCGGCATATGCACGTATTCATTTATGGCTGTATGTATGTATACGCATGCATGTGTTCATGTTTGCATGCATGCAGGTATGTATGTATACACGTACTGTACCGTACCTATGTATGTATGTACGTATGTCTGCGTGCAAGTATGCAAGCATTTCTGGTATTCATGCACGGATGGATGGATGGATGGATGGCCACGGATGTGTGTATGCATGCATGCATCTTTATGCGCGTATGTATAATATGACAGTATTTTGCCTTCCACATTCAACCGCCCTTGCCAATCTTGTCCCTAGCCCCTAAGCCCCAAGACAGTCGAACAGACTCCAGCTTGTAAGCCCGGAACGTCAAAGCGGCCGCTTGGAGGACTGCTGCTGCTCCCGTTCCAGAAATCGCCTCGGGTCCAGCAGCCTGAGTCGAGTGAGACCAGCGAGGAGCAGCAGGAGCTTCTGTTCAAGCGGGCTTTAGCACTAAATGTATGAGGTATGTCTGAACAGAGGTACATGTATGCATGCATACATACACAGATACATACGTACTTAGCTTGTTGTTTCTGCTTGTGTTGATGAGCTTTATTTGAGGTTAAAACTTCTTATTCATTAAACATTGGCGTTGACCTTGCTGCACAAATGACCGGGACCGACCATAGCAAAGTAGTAAGAGCAGCAGTGTTGAGCAAAGTTGTGCAACCACGAACAGTTGTAAGTAATGCTTACAGTTATAGCAATAGCAATCGTAACAATCAGGGGTCGGTAGCAACACTTGCACGGTTCAGGCCGGCTTTAATTTAGGGTTTGGCTACATCAACGGCGTGAAGACTTGATTGAGTTTCCATCCCGGATAGAGATGATGTACGGGTCCAACTCGGCATGGTGCCAGGCTCTGCACTCGATCAATGACAAGTACTTCGCGGGGATTCGAGATATCCCACATGTGTTTGCATATTGTGCAGCGCCATCAAAAAAGTCATCCCGGCGAGGATGCTGCGCCCCCACCAGGACTCCTGCAGGCCGGAAGGGGGCCGAGGGCGTGGCGCAATACGGCAATAGCTAGTGAAGTAGTGGTAGCAATAGCTTTGGCAGCAGTGTTCCCTGTCCTCCTTGTCGTTGTCGGCGTCCGTCGCAACCGTTGGAAAGGCGGAAGTCTGGAACACTATATGCCTTTGGGCCGTCTTGCTGGACGATGTTTGGAGCCGCTGTAGTACTTTGGGGTCGTGTCAACGAGTTCAGGGTGGATGCCTGAGGGAACTCCGGGGTGAAGAGCCAAAGCTTCAACTCGTTTGGAAATCCAACTCAACCATCCCCGAAAGCTGTTTCGGACAAGAGCGAAGAATGCACGGTCTGCAGACGATGATGCGATACCTGCTATCATTGAGTAACTGTCACGATGCCATGAGTTGCTTTGAGCGTGGGATACGCCAACAGTTTCAATCGCAATCATGGGGCCAAGCAACTAAGATCTCGTATGGCACGAAGAAGGCACGATTGCTACCAGTAGTGCTATGTTTGTACGAAGTAGCATCTTGAGAGAGCCAGCGCGCGTTCCGGCCTGCGAGGCGCTTCGAAATCCCCGCCACTGGCGCAACATTCTCGGCTGTGCGGGCGGCTGGTTCCTTGTACAAGGTTGTTATATGAGTGCCTCAGGCTTCTTAGACGAGTAATCTTACCTAGCAGCTTCATGTTTTCGGCAGGATTCGGGGTGTTAAGGTCCACGCTTATGCTTGGGGTGGAGCAGTGGGCCTTGTCTTCAGCCAGGAGATCTGCTTAGTCGTCTTAAGATTCTCGGTACATAGCTCCTCTTGGGAGTTTGTGCCCGCAAAGCCTTTGAACTCCAATTCTGCAGCTCTCAGGTTCCTCTTCGACATCACTTTCTATGGCAACACCTTGCCCCTGTGCGCGCAGAGACCATGCAATGCCGTCCTGCACCTTTGAGCTTTGCCCCCTTTTTTCCTGTAGGACACTCCCATTCTTGCAGGGGCCGCTCCAGAACTGCAGACGTTCCAAGTAGAAGCATTTAAGGGTTTCTTGAGTACGCATATGTATATGTATATCTATCTATGTATGTATATATATATATGTGTGTGTGTGTAACAGACCCGTAAATACATGCCGAAGTACATGTAAGGTCCACGGCCAAGTCCTCCATGGAAAGAAAGCTTTACCTGCTCTGGAAAGGTTTTCTCCCACGGTTCTGAAGGATGTCTGGGATGTGGAAGGGTCCGTCCCAGTCGTCGGCCCGACATTGCGTCTTTGCTGACTTCGCTGACTTCTAAGTTAAACCTTAAACCCCTAAACCCGAAACCCCCAGAGTTTCACGTTTGCATTGAGTCTTAGCGTTTCGTGGCTTGGAGCTCTGGGGGCAGCTTTTGGAGGCTTCTCTCAAGCTTCGCGGGAGAAGGGGCATTGCAAGGATCAGGGCGCTCCCAATCCCTAAGCGCCTAACACGGAACTTTAACGCCGGGCTCAGGGTTTATAGGGGTTTTAGGGTTTATGTCTATAGGGTTTATAGGGTTTGTAGGGATTATAGGGTTT